TCGGTTCTTTTCTTTGAGTAAAGGGTGCAAAATCTGTTTACTTATTTTCCTTATAAAATTCATTTTAGGGCTGGGGTTGTGGCTCAGTGGTAGAGCACTTGCCTAGCATACCTGAGGCCCTGGGTTTGATTCTCAGCACCACATACAACTAAATAAAATAAAGGTCCATTGACAACTAAGAAAATGTTAAAAGGAAAAAAAAATTAAAAATAAAATAAAATTCATTTTGTAGAGAGTGTAAAATCCAGGTTTCACTTTTTTTTTTTTGTTTTACTTGTGTTTTCATTTTTGTGGTACTGGGTATGAACCCAGGGATGCTCTACCACTAAGCTACATCCCCAGTCCTTTTTATATTTTGAGACACTGTTTCACTAAGTTGCTGAGGCTGTCCTCAAACTTGTGATCCTCCTGCCTCAGCCTCCTGGGTTGCTGGGATTATAGACAAATACCACTATGCCAGGATTATTTAACTTTTTAAAAGATTTTTTAGTTTTACACGGACACAATATCCTTAATTTTTAATACCTTTATTTCTTTTAATTTTTTGTTGTAGATGAATACAATATTATTTATTTTTATGTGGTGCTAAGGATTGAACCCAATGCTTCACACATGCTAGGCAAGCGCTCTACCACTGAGCTACAGCCCCAGTCCCAATACCTTTATTTCTTTTTGTTTTTAATACTTTTATTTCACTTATTTATTTTTATGTGGTGCTGAGGATCGAACCCAGGGTCTCCCACGTGTGAGGCGAGCACTCTACTGCTAAGCCACTACTACAGCTGCCCTTTATTTCTTTATGTGTGATGCTGAGGATTGAACCCAGTGCCTCATACATGCAAAGCAAGCGCTGTAATGCTGAGCCACAACCCCAGCCCCAATATCTTTATTTTGTTTATTTATTTTTATGTGGTGCTGAGGTTAGAACCCAGTGCCTCACATGTGTGAGGTAAGTGCTCTGTTACTGAGCCACAACCCCAGCCCCTCATTTAACTTTTTAAAAAGTATTATATTTTACTCAGGTTGAGCGTGCAAACTCCAAATTCTGTTCCTTAAAAATTTTGTTTGCTGGGCATAGCGGTATGTGCCTGTAGTGCCAGCTACTGGAGAGGCTCACTTGATCCCAGGAATTTAGAGGCTAATTTGGGCAACATAGTGAAACACTGTCTCAAAAAAGTTACATTAAAATGTTTATACTATTTTAGTTAATGTTGAGTGCAAATTCAAGATATTACTCTTTTCAAAATTGAGAACAGGGGTTTGGATTGTGGCTCAGCGGTAGCTCGCCTAGCACCTGTGAGGCCCTTGGTTGGATCCTAAGCACCACATAAAATAAATAAATAAAATAAAGATATTGTGTCCAACTACAATTAAAAAATAAATATTCTTTAAAAAACTAAGAACAATTTTAAAAACAGTGTTTATTCAAATGACTCTTGCAGAATCCAGATTTTGGTTCCTATTTAAATTTTTAACAAAAAATAAAACTTCATTTTTTCCTCATTAAAACAATTTTTAATTTTTATTCAGGCTGAGTGTGCAAAGCCTTGGTTTGGCTTCCTTTTTATTTTTATTTATTTATTTTGGGGGGGGGTACCAGGGATTGATCTCAGGGGCACTTAACCATTAAGCCACACCCCCATCCCTATTTTGTATTTTTTATTTGGTGACAGGGTCTCACTGAGTTGTTTAGCGCCTCACTTTATACTGAGGCTGGCTAATAACATTTTTTGTTTTATTTTTATTTCAATATTTTAGGGCTGTGAAGCAGGAGTATTGCAAGTTCGAGAGCAGTTTCAGAAAATTAGCAAGGCCCTAAGCAATTTAGTGAAATCCTGTCTCAAAATTTTGAAAAAAGGCTGGAATGTAGCTCAGTGGTAAAGTGCCCCTGGGTTCAAACCCCAGAACCACCCCTACCAAAAAAAAAAAAAACCTCAATATTTTAGGGCTAGATGTATATCTCAGTAGTAGAATGATTGCTTTCTCCAGGTAAGGCCCTGGGTTTTATCTTCAGCATTGGAAAAAATAAAAGCAGTATGCAATATATTTATATTTACAGGGAAAAGTCTTTCTTCCATGCTCTATCACTTGCCCTCTTACAAGTAATTACTTTTATTTTTATAAAAATATACTTCCAGGGGCTGGGGATATACCTCAGTTGGTAGAGTGCTTGCTTGGCATGCACAAGGCCCTGGGTTCAATCCCCAGTACCACACACACACACACAAAAAAAAAAAAAAAAAAAATCCTTCCAAAATTCAAGCATATCAAGCAAATATAGAAATATATGTTAATTATCCCCCCCATTTTTATCCTATACATAACACATGAATCACTATTCTGCAATTTTAAAAAATCTTTCACATCAGTACATAGTGTCCTCATCCATTTTTTTCCATTGTGGTGATGCAACAAACTTTAACATGTCCCTAATTGATGGACACTTGGTTATTTGCAGTCCTTTCCTATTGCAAATGACACTGCATCAAGTTGTACCCATTTGGAATCACACAAATGTAGACAGATCTGTTTAGGATATATTCCAGAGAGTGTCAATGGAGAAGTTATCTTTTTGTGTTCCCACCAGCAATGTGTGAGTGCACCTGTTACCCCACCAGCAGACTGCCTCTCAGACATTTTGGATATGTTTGCCAGTTAGGAGTAAGAAAGATTATGAGAGGCTTGGGCGGTAGCTCAGTGGCAAAGTGCTTGCCTAGCATGCGTGAGGCACTGGGTTCGATCCTCAGCACCACATAAAAATTAACAAATAAAATAAAGGCATTCTGTCCATCTACAACTACAAAAAAAAAATAGAAAAAAAAAAAGAAGAAAGATTATGAGCGCAGTGGAGCACTCCTGTAATCCTAGTAGCTCGGGAGGCTGAGGCAGGAAGATTGTGAGTTCAAAGCCAGCCTCAGCAACAGTGAGGGACTAAGCAACTCAGTGAGACCCTGTCTCTAAATAAAATACAAAGAAGGGCTGGGGATGTGAGTCAGTGTTTGAGTGCCCCTAATACCCCTGGTACCCCACCCCACCCCAAAAGGAGTAAGATTATGAGTGAAGCTGAGCATTTTTTCATATCCTTAAGTCATTTTATTTTCCCTTATGAGAATGGCCTTCACACCTCCTTTGGTAATTTTTGTCTTTAAAAAAATTATTTCTTGGGGCCTGGGATTGTGGCTCAGTGGTAAAGCACTCGCCTAGCATGTGCGAGGCCCTGGGTTCGATCCTCAGCACCACATAAAAATAAGATAAAGAGGGCTGGGGTTGTGGCTCAGTGGTAGTGTGCTCACCTAGCATGTATGAGGCACTGGGTTCGATTCTCAGCACCACATAAAAATAAAGACAATAAAGTCCATCAACAACTAAAAAATTTTTTTAAAAAATAAGATAAAGATATCGTGTTCAACTACAACTAAAAAATAAATATTTAAAAATATTTCTAGCAACTTTTTATATTTAGGTAGAATATAAGTCAGAGAGTAGAATTACATTGTCTCATTTTGAAAATATTTTTGGGGTGCTTCTACAGACCAAACTCAGGGCCTTATCATGCTAAACATACAGTCTACTACTGAGCTACACCCTCAGACTCTTAAAATAATTTTAAAGTAAGAAAATAAAAAACTATATCTGGTCACCTTTCATGTGTATGTACTCAGGTACTTCTATCACTTGGGGATACTATGGAGTCACAGAACATCCTTGGGTAAAGGATGGGTTTTCCTGAGACCCTTTTTGTCCTTGTTGAATAGAACCATCACCTATTTCTCTCCCACAGGGCTACGGCATGGCATACACTGTCCACAAGTGGTCAGAGCTCAGCTGGGCCAGTCACTGGGTCACTTTTGGATGCTGGATCTTCTACCGTCTCATAGGCTGAGGCATATGACCCTTATAGCCCCTCAAGACTCCTCCTCAGAGTGCCAGCTCTGATGGGGGGTGAGAGAAGGCCCTACTCCTGGACCCGTCTCCATTCATGACACCACCCACACACCCCTACACACACACGCACACACACACACATTTCCATGCCTGTCAATCCCCACCCCACCACAAGGCGGGAAGGGGGTGGTCCCTGTTAAGGCCTAGGGGTGGGGGATACATGGGGAAGCAGAGAGGGGGAGATGCAGGGCTTCCCTGCCTGCCTTCTCCCTTTTTATATACAGTTTGTTATTGTCAAATAAAAGTAGAAATACACAATAGGCTCTTTCTTCACTGGTCAGATGTGAATAGGAGTGTGAGGAAGGGGGGTACAGCACAGATAAAGGTTTAGAAACTGAAAACCATGTAGAGGGAGCAGTTCATAGTTAATTTATGATTGTTGGTGATGGGTCCAAGGATGGCAGTGTCCTGGTCCTGCTTGACTTGAGTGGAGTGAGTACAGATTTTATAGCAGAATGTAGGGGAAGTCTGATACTAATTGGCCGGAAAACAGGGATCCCTGTTCTGATTGGTTGTTCTGGGACAGATGGGAAGGAACGCACGACAGATGAAGGGTTGACGCTTATTGGTCCCTAGATCTGAAGGTTGGGGGTTCTAATTGGGTGAGTCTGAATTGTGACTGGGAGCTTGGTTTGGGTGTCCAGGGTTAGCGTTATTTCATTCTGGTTGGCTTTTTAGAATTGGCTCAGTTGAGGGTCTCCATGCCAATTGGCCAGCAGGACCGAGAGGCCTGGATTCTGATTGGTTCTTCTGACTTGAAGTCGGAAGAGGTGAGGATCACCTGCTGCTATTAGGACTGTGGAGTTATGAGCGCAAAAGTCCAGGGCCAGTGGAGGGCAAGGGTTTTGCAGTGTGCATGATGTGACCTGCCTGTCATATTATAGTTTCCTTGCATTGACGGTTGGTCTGGGAACGGATTGGTTGTCTATAAAAACAGAGAGGGCAAGAAAACGCTGTCTCTCCAGCAAACGCGGAGCATGTATGTCTAAACTATCTCCGCTGCGATTGCTGAGGGGTCGGGGAAATTGAAACCAAGAATCCTTGCAGATTGGTTACCGGTCGGAAACGCCCACCAACCTTTGACAGTCCCCGCCTCCACCCCACTCCTGACTTGGTCTCAGCCAACAGCGAAAGTGGCACCACGCGTGAGGATGGGACCTGCAGCACACGGAGATCTCCTATTGGTTGGGAGGCACCTTTCCCGCTTCTCCATTGGCCTGCTCCTTTGGGCGGGGGAACCGTGAGGGGATGGGCCCGAACTAGGGACGTTTTCAACGGTCAGCCTAGCGAGATCGGGAGCCTGTGGGAAACGGCTGCTGGCTGCTGCGATCACGCGGCTTCGGTGAGTGCTCTTGTCTGACTCTCCACTCCATCCCCTAGCTCTCCACCACCTGATGGCCCGCCCTCCGCCAGCCTCGCCGGCTTCTTATCCCCCATCCTTGCGCCTGCGCGGGACCCCTTGCTCCCCGCGGTTGTCCGGACGACGGAAGACCCGCCTTCTCGTTGGGCTGTTGGACTGGAGGGTTCTGGTTCTGATTGGTGGTCTCTGTGTTTGACTCCCCTTTTCCTCGTTAGCGTCGCCCGGGAGACCCCAGCCCTTCCTAGTCGCTTGCAGGTTGGCAGCATAATATACTCTTGCCAGCCCGCTGTAGCTTTTGAATGGTGGGCTTTAAATGCTTTGCCCGCGGTTTCCTTCCCTCTGGCGGGAGGGAATACCTTTCCATTCAGTAGTGTAAACATTGGCCTGGTTCCTGTGTCTTGCCATCAAACTTTCAGCCCTGTGAGTTGCAGTGCTGCATGCCTGTAATCCCAGCGACTCAGGAGGCTGATACAGGAGGATTGCAAGTTCGAGGCCAGCTTCAGCAATTTAATGAGACCCTGTCTCAAAAACAAGATAGAGAAAGGACTGGGTATGTGGTTCAGTGGTTAACCCACACCTGGGTTCAAACCCCGGCACTAAAAAAAAAGAAAGAAAATAGTGTTAGCCCTGACTTCTGGGGTCTGTCTTGGTGACTGAACTCACCTACCAGACTGTAACCAATGAGGGCTGGGATCAGGAGTGGTTCCTGTGTATCCCACACCAAATTGTGACCCCTGAGGGCTGGGACCAGACCTGGTACCTGTCACCTCCTCTAGACTGTGACCAGTGAGGGCTGGGACCAGTGAGGGCCTTGTTTCTGTGTGTCCTTAACAAGATTGTGACCCCTGAGGGCTAAACCAGAGACCTGTTTCCAATTACTGCAGCTCCCAGAGGGCTTGAAGGACTTTCAGTCTTTCTGTGGCCTTATTATAATCATGTTCTTAAACAGTATACAATTCCATTATTGTCTATCTATCTCTAAAATTAGATTATTTATAATCCAGTTTTACAGTCAGTCCATTAACTGGTCAATTCAGTCCATTTACATTTCTTGTAGTAATAAAGTATTTGGATTTAATTTAATTATCTCACTTTGCTTTTTATTTGCCCAGGTTATTCTGTTCCTTTTTTCTCCTTCCTGTTGGTCCACACGTGGCTGTCAGCCCACAGAGACATGGCCACCAACGCAGGCCCCTTGCACCCATATTGGCCTCGGCACCTGAGGCTGGACAACTTTGTGCCTAATGACATCCCCACCTGGCATATCCTGGCTGGCCTATTCTCCATCTCTGGGGTCATAGTTGTGACCACATGGCTGTTGTCAGGTCGTGCTGCAGTTGTCCCACTGGGGACTTGGCGGCGACTATCCTTGTGCTGGTTTGCAGTGTGTGCATTCATTCATCTGGTGATTGAGGGCTGGTTCGTTCTCTACCACGAGGTCCTTCTTGGAGATCAAGTCTTCTTGTCTCAACTCTGTGAGTCCTGAATTCTTATGTTATGGGAGGGAACTTCCTGGGCAGGGATTGGCTTACAAATTCTTCAATTAATTTATTTGAAAAGTTTATAAAACTTTTGTGCCCCACATATATTTGCATGGATCAAGAAACAAAGCCATTTAAATAAGTATGCAGTGAAAATCTGCCTTCTCTCCACCAAGAATCCCCCAAATCTCTTAGGTGCTATTAGTAATTGTTTCTGGGACTAGGGATGTAGCTCAGCAGGAGGGAGGGAGGGAGGGAGGGAGGGGGAGAGAGAGAGAGAGAGAGAGAGAGAGAGAGAGAGAGAACTTTAGTATGTGCAAGGCCCTGGATTAAATCCCCAGCACACACAGAGACAAATTCTTGAGTTTATTTATATATAGGCCTCAGTTTGCTCAGTTGTAAATGGGGGATAATAGTAGTTACTTAAATATATGAAAGGGATTTAGAACAGTGGCAGTTATTTACTATTATTTTATTATCATTATTATATTTATTTTTTCCCTTTTTAAGTAAATGGAAACAAGCTATTTATACTTCTGAACTTTGATTTTGTGTGTGTGTGTTTGTGTGTGATACTGGGGATTGAACCCAGAGGTATTCTACCACTGAGCAATATCCCTAGCCCATTTTATTTTTTATTTTACTTGAAGACAGGGTCCTCGGGGTTGGAGTTGTGGCTCAGTGGTAGAGCGCTCGCCTAGTAAGCATGAGGCACTGTGTTCGATCCTCAGCACCACATAAATATAAAAATAAAGATTTTTTTTAAAAAAGAGGGCTGGGTCTGGGGCTCAGGAGTAGCACACTTGCCTGGCATGTGTGAGGCAATGAGTTTGATTCTCAGCACCACATATAAATAAATAATAAATAAATAAACAAAGGTCTATCAACAACTTAAAAAAATATTTTAAAAAAGACAAGGTCTCACTAAGTTGCCCAGGCTGGCCTTGAACTTGTGATCCTCTTGCCTCAGTCTCCAAGTCACTGGGTTTACAGATATGCACCACTGTGCCCCATTGAACTTTGCTTTTTCAAATGAGGTCAATCCTAGCCAGGATGCTGGTTCATGCCTAGTACCAAAAACAAATAAATAAAATAAACTGAGGTCACTCCTTATCATAAAGAGCTTTTCCTTTTTTCTTTCCTTTATTTTTTTTGGGGGGTACCGGGGATTGAACTCAGGGTACTCGGCCACTGAGCCACATCCCCAGCCCTATTTTCTATTTTATTTAGAGACAGGATCTTACTGAGTTGCATAACACCTCCCTTTTGCTGAGGCTGGCTTTGAATTCACAATCCACCTGCCTCAGCCTCTCAAGCTGCTAGAATTATAGGCATGTGCCACTGTGCCCAGTTTATAAAGAGCTTTCAAAGCATAGATGTAATAAATTTATTTGATATGTACAATCAATACAGTGCATTTCCCTCTAATCTTCTACTGTCTCGACAATATTTCTTTCTGGTCTCATGAATAAAGCTGCTATGAACATTCTAATATGTGTCTTTGTGTTGACTAAACCTCTTTTATTTCTCTGAATAAAGATGTAGAAGTAGAATGGCTGGGTCTTATGGTAGGTGTGCATATAACTTTATGAAAAACTACCTGGGGCTGGTTTTGCAGCTAAATGGTAGAATGCTTGCCTAGCATATTTGAAGCCCTGGGTTCCATCCCCAGCACTGAAAACAACAACAACTACTACTAAACTGTTTTCAAAAATGGTTGCGCCTAGCCAGCACAATGGCAATGCCTGTAATCCCAGCAGTTTAGGAGGCTGAGGCCGGAGGATCATGAGTTCAAAGCCAGCCTCAGTAACTTAGGAAGGTCCTAAGTAACTCAGTGAGACCCTGTCTCTAAATAAAATATAGAAAATGGCTGGGGATGTGACTCAGTGTTTCAGTGCTCCTGAATTCAATCCCTGGTACCAAGAAAAAAAAAATGATTGTACCATGTTACATTCCCACCAGCAAAACAGGACAATTCTAGTTCCTCCACATCCTCACCAACATTTGGTATTGTCAGATATTTCCTAAATTTTAGTCATTCTAGTGAATGTGAATGATAACTCATTATTTTAATTTGCTTTTCCTTAATGACTAATGAAAGTTTGAGAAACTTTTATCTGAGCACTGTGGCACACACCTGTAGTCCCAGGGATTTAGGAGGTTGAGGCAGGAGGATCACAAGTTCAAAGCCAGCCTCAGCAACTTAATATGACCCTGTCTCAAAAAATAAAAAGGGTTGGGGAAGCCGGGCACAGTGGCATATGCCTATAATCCCTGCAGCTCTGGAGGCTGAGGCCAAAGGATTTTGAGTTCAAAGCCAGCCTCAGCAATGTATCAAGGCCCTAGGCAACTCAGCAAGACCCTGTCTCTAAATAAAATATAAAAAAGGTCTGGAGATATGGCTCAGTGGTTAAGCACCTGTACTAAAAAAAAAAAAAAAAAAAAAAAAAGGCTCGGATGTAACTCAGTGGTTAAGCAGCCCTGGGTTTGATCCTCATCAAAAACAAATGGATTAAAAGAGCTAGGAATGTAGTTCAGAGGTAGAGCACCCCTGGGTTTATTCTCCATTACTATAAACAAACAAACAAACAAAAAAGTTTGAGCTCTTTTCATGTTTATTGGCCACTTGGAAATTCTCTTTTGTGAAGAACTGTTTAGGTTTCCTGCCTACTTTTACCTTGGGCGGTTCTGGGTTTGGTTTTTTTTTTTTTTTTTTAAATTTTTTCTCTTCTCCATGCTGGGGATGGAACCCAGGGCCTTGCACATGCTAGGTAAACATCTACTATGAGCCACAGCTCTAGCCCAAGTGATATTTTTCTTATTCTCTGTTCATTCTTTCATTCACTCATCTGTTCACCTGCATATATGCTCTCTCTTGCACACTATCTATCATGAAATATTTCATTCACTCCATAATCCCTTTTTCTTTTGGCAGTGCTGGGGATTGAACCCAGGGTCTTGTTCATGCTAAGCAAGTGCTCTATCAATGAACTATACCCCCCACCCCATTCACTCGATCATCTATCTATATCTGCCTCCTTTTATGCCACAAATGCTTTTTTTTCCCCTCAGTAGTAGAGACTGAACCCAGGATGCTATTATAACTCAGAGCTACCTTTCATTTATTTTGTTTTTTTAAGATTTTGAGACAGGGTCTTGCAAATTTACCCCAGAGTGGCCTTCAACTTGTGATCTTCCTGCTTCAGCTTTCCTAACAGCTGGCAATACAGGCATGCACCTGCCAAGTCTGGCCAAACACTTCTTGAGTATCAAGCAGTCACAGCAACACTGTTCTGTGTCACACACATTCTTTTTTTTAAATGTTTCATTTGTTCTTTTTAGATATACATGACTAGAATATATTTTGACATGTTATACATACATGGAGTATCACTTCCCCTTCTTATGGTTGTACATGATGTAGAAGACACACATTATTAAACTTTAGAATCCAAACTGCTACCCCATTTCACAGATGAAGAAACTGAGGCATGGAGAGGTTATGAAGTCTGCCAACTTACAGGGGCCCCAGCTCTCACAAAGGAAAGTTCCTTTTCTTTCTTAATTCTTCATGTGTGTTTTTCTTTTCTTCAGGGAAAGAGTATTCCAAGGGAGACAGCCGATACATCATGTAAGTGTTTGTGGGTCAATGGAGCCCTGCATAGGTTTGGGGTGGTGGTAAGTCAGCTTTAATAGGGTGCCCTGTGCACACAGCATACTAATTCCAGTATCCCTCCATCCTTTCTCTTGCAGTAATGACAACTTCACTATCTGTATGGAAACCATCACAGCTTGCCTGTGGGGACCACTCAGCCTATGGGTGGTGATTGCCTTTCTCCGCCAGCAACCCCTCCGCTTTGTTCTACAGTTCTTGGTCTCTGTGGGTGAGGCACTGGGCACTAGAGGGATTTATGGGGGAATCCACAGACACAGGTATAGCCCTCTGGGTAGTATCTCTCTTGATTGTGTCCATCCAGAGGCACATCAGCCTGAGTGACCAACTCCCTAAAGTACTAAAACAGCCATGCCCCTCTCTGATCTTGCATCTCAATTTCTCTTCTTCCTTCATCACAGAGTCTCCTATGAAAGTTATATGTAATGTCCTATGCTTTCAAGAAGCTCCTGGGTCCTCCAGGACAAGGATTCTGAGTTCCCTTATCTGAGACTCAGTCTTCTTTTTTTAATATTTATTTTTTAGTTTTAGGTGGACCCAATATCTTTATTTTACATTTATGTGGTGCTGAGGATTGAACCCAGTGCTTCATGCATGCTAAGCAAGCGCTCTACCACTGAGCCACAATCCTAGCCCTAAGACTCAGTCTTCTTATATTTTTTGGTACTGTGGATTTAACCCACGGGCAGTTAACCACTGAGCTATATCCCCAACCCTTTTTTGTAGTTTATTTAGAGACAAGATCTCACTGAGTTGCTTAGGGCCTGGCTGAGTTGAACTCACAACCCTCCTGCCTCAGCCTCCCAAGCCATTAGGATTATGGTGTGCACCACTGTACCCAGCTAGTCTTCTTGTATTCTTAAATTGTTAACTTTCTTTAGTTCTGGATGTAGGGGTTCCATTTAGCCCTGGAATCTAAGCTGTCTTGAATTTTAGGATTTTGAACTTCCTTCAGTTCTGGACATATGAGCTCTCCTAAGTTCAGAAATTCTCAGTGCTAGCTGGGTACAATGGCACATGCCTATAATCCCAGCTTCGTGGGAGGCTGAGACAGGAAGATCACAAATTTGAGGCTAGCCTGGACAAATTAGCCAGACCCTGTCTCAAAATGATACTTTAAAAAGGCTGGTGATGTAGCTCAGTGGTAGAGTACCTCTGGGTTCAATCCCCAGAGCTGCCAAAATCTTCTAAATGCTCTGATGTGTAGAATTCTCATTTTTGGATTTCTGAAATTTTTAGTTCTGTGATTTCAGAATTCTTAGCTCTCTGAGTTTAGGATCCTAAGATCTGAAACCTTGAAGGATGACTTGGGAAATGCCTTGAAAGAGAGTCTGGGTTAGCCTCCTGTTCCTCACAGGGGTTGATCCTTTCCCCTCCTGCCTCCCACAGGCCAGCTCTACGGAGATGTACTATACTTCCTGACAGAGTACCGTGATGGATTTCAGCATGGGGAATTTGGCCACCCACTCTATTTCTGGTTTTACTTCGTCTTCATGAATGCCCTGTGGCTAGTGCTACCTGCAGTCTTCGTGCTGGATTCCGTGAAGCAGCTCACTCGTGCCCAGAGAACACTGGACAGCAAAGGCACAAAAGCCAAGAGCAAGCAGAACTAACAAGCAGTGGACTAGCCTGGAACACTGACTGATGATGTGTTCCTTCCAGAAGAGTCCAATCCTGCTCCCACAGGTTGGAGGGGCCAAAGCTTATTGATTTGTGACACTCAGACTGATGGGTGGCCACAAAAAGGGTCAGATATGAGAAAGATAGGGATTGTATAGCACTACTGCCAGGAGACATTGGGAACAAGACATAAGGCAAGGAACAAGACATAAGCCATGATGGTGGCAATTTTTAAAATCAGAAAATAAAATATCATAACTTGAATACTGAGAGATCTTTAATTACTAACCCTAGAAATGCCTTGTGATTAATCTCTTCTTCACTCACTCATCTGCAGACCCCCCATCATCATCTCTGACTTCACAAACTCCCAGTACTGATCTCACATGATCCCATCATTTACCCTAATGACCCCATAACTCACCACCTGGACTCCGCATTAAGACCACTCCATCACTCACCCCATAGACCCTATCACAGACTCCATAGGCCCTTCTGTTAGTCAGCTTGAAGTGCCATACCAGAATGCCACAGACTGCATGGTTTAAACAACAGAAATTTATTTTCTCAGTTCAGGAGCTAGTCACAGTGTCCATAGGGTTGATTTCTTCTGAGATCTCTTCTTGGCTTGCAGGTGACTGATTTCTCACTGTGTCCCAACGTGGTCTTTTCTCTGTGTACCCAAGCTCCTGGTGTCTGTGTGTATATGTGTGTCCAAACTTCGTCTTAGGAAATAGTCAGATTGGATTAGCCACCCTAACAGCCTCATCTAAAATAAAGGCCCAGGGGCTGGGGATGTGGCTCAAATGGTAGTGCGCTCACCTAGCATGCGTGAAGCACTGGGTTCGATTCTCAGCACCACATTAAAAAATAAAATAAAATAGAGATATTGTGTCCACTTAAAACTAAAAAATAAATTTTTAAAAAATAATAATAAAATAAAATAAAGGCCTTATCTCCAAATACAGTCACATTCTGAGGTACAGGAGTTCAGAGCTTCAGCATATAGATTTGGGGAGGACATGATTCAGTCTATAACATTTTGCTCTCTGTTCTCCCCCAAATTCATGTCCTTCTTGCATATAAATTATATTCACCCATATCCCAGCAGCCCAAAACTCTTTGCCCATTCTGGCATTGACTTTTTTTTTTGAGGGGGGGGGGGTTGCTGGGAATGGAACCCAGGGCTTTGCACATGCTAGGCAAGTGTTCTGCCACTGAGCTACACCCCTAACCCCTGCATTCACTTTGAATCCCAACTCTTACCTAAATATTTAAATCAAGCATGGGTGAGAGGTATGATTCATCCTAAGGCAAAAATTCTCTAGCTGAGAACCTGTGAAACCAGCTCAGTTTGCTGTTTCCAAAATGAAGTGTTGGGACAGGTATAAGAGAGATATTCCCATTCCCAAAAGAAGACATTGGTAAGAATAATGAGATCACAGGTCCCAAGTAAATCCAAAACCTAACAGGGCAAATTCCATTACATTTTAAGGCCTAAGAGTAATCCTCTTTGGCTGGATACTCGGTCCCCTGGCCCACCAGGGTCGGGTCAACACCTTCTGGGCCAACTAGAGCAGCATTGTTGCTTTCTCTACCTGATGCACTACAACTAAAACTTGTGGCCCTGCCCTCCAGAATTGAGGAGGGCATGGCAGTACCATTAGGGTCACTCTTCCTTTTTTTGAAAGTTAAAATATATTTACAGCCAGAAAGTTCTATTGTTTTGTTCTGTAGAATCTCAGAAGGTAGACAGCCTTCCTTCATTTTATCCCATCTCTATTCCCTTTAGTCCCAGCTACCTGAGTGTTTCCACTGGTATTGCCCCACCTTTATTCCTGAATTCTGCTGAGACAGCAGATTAGATCAGTACAGCACACTCATGATTTCTTTATGGAGTAATTTTCCTGCCACACCCATACTGTTCTCTACAGAACACTTTTTTTGTTGTTGTGGTGGTGGTGCTGGGGATTGAACCCAGGACCTTGTGCATGCAAGGCAAGCACTCTACCAACTAAGCTATATCCCCAGCCCTCCAGAACACATTGTTAAAAAAAATTTTTTAGTTGGTGATGGGCCTTTATTTTATTTATTTTATGTGGTGCTGAGAATTGAACCCAGTGCCTTGCACATGCTAGGCAGTGCTCTTCCACTGGGCTAAACCCTAGCCCTCCAGAACACTTTTTGATTTTGTAATATTGGACAGGCTGAGAATTTTATGAAGCTTCACATTTTTGTTCTTTCCTTCCTAATACTTCCTTTTCTCCCTTTCTTTCTTTTTATCTGTACTAGCAACTGAACCCATGGGAGTTCTACCACTGAGCTACATCCCCAGCCCTATTTTGTATTTTATTTAGAGACAAGGTCTCACTGAAATGCTTAGGGCCTCACTTTTGCTGAGGCTGGGTTTGAACTCAAGATCCTCCTGCCTCAGCCTCCTAAGCCACTGGGATTACAGGGGTGTGATACCACGCCCAGCTATTTATCACAGTTCTTGAGGCTAGCACAGATACATTCTGTTTCTGTTGAGGGCCCACTTCCTCATAGATGGCACCTTCTTGCTGTATCCACATATAGTGGAATGATTGAATTCTAGATTCTTCATTTCTTTTTCTGGGGTGGGGCAGTGCTGGGGATTTAACCCAGGTGCTTTACCACTGAGCCACATCCCCAACCCTTTTTATTTTGAGGCAGGGTCTTGCTGAGTTATTTAGGGCCTCACTAAATTGCTGAGGGCGGTCTCAAACTTGCCATCTTCTTGCCTCAGCATCCCAAGTCACTGGGATTACAGTTGAGCACCACTGCCACCATACCAGGTCCTCTTTTTATTTTTTGTTTTAAAACAGGGTTATCACTAAGTTTCCTAGACTGGCCTTGAACTTGCAATCCTCCTGTAGTTCATTCCTGAACTTGCAGACTCCTGCAGAGTCTCAGCCTGCAGAGCAGCTGGGATCATAGGTATGTACCACCATACGTGGCACAATCAAGGCTTTTTCTAACATATACCTCAAAAACTGTTCCAGCCTCAGGGGTGGGGATGTGGCTCAGTGACAGAGCATTTGCCTAGCATGTATGAGGCACTGAGTTTGATCCTTAGTACCACATAACAAATAAAATAAATGCAGTCTGTCCATTTACAACTACAAAAAAAAAAAATTAACTCTTCCAGCCTCTACCCATCACCCAGTTCCAAAGTTACATTTCTATATATTACATTAGCACCCCACTTCCCAGTATCAAAATATATATTAGTTTGCTAGGGTTGCCATAATAAAAATGCCACAGACCAGATGGCTTAAACAACAGAAATTTACTTATTTAATTTTATTTTTTGGTACTAGAAATTGAACCCAGGGGCACTTTACCACTGAGCTACATCCACAGATCCCCCTTTTTTTCACTATGTTGCTTGTTACTTAGGGCCTTGCTAAGTTGCTAAGGCTGGCCTTAAATTTGCCATTCTCCTACCTCAGTCTCCTGAGTCACCGAGATTACATGCCTAGGTTATTTATTTTTTAAAATGAAGTTTTTACATGAATACCAACTTTATTTGATTTATTTTATTTGTTGTGATGCTGGGGATCAAACCCAGGGCCTCACATATACTAGGCCAGCACTCTACCACTGAGCTACATCCCCACCCCTAGAAATTTGATTTATTTATCTAGGTACTGGGGATTGAACTCAGGGACATTTTGTCACTGTGTTACATCCCCAGCCATTTTTATTTTTTTATTTTGAGACAGGGTATCACCATGTTGCTTAGGGCCTAAATTGCTGAGGCTGGCCTCTAACTTATGATCCTCTTGCCTCAGCCTCCCAAGTTGCTGGGATTATAGGCATGTACCATTGCACCAGAGCAACAATATATTTTAAATGGAAAAAGAAAAAAGACCACTGCCATTATGGTCTCATTTAACTTTAATTACCTTCTTAAAGATTCTATCTCAAATATCTTCCACTTTAGAGGGTGGGGTTTCAACATAAGAATTTTCTTTCAGGGATACACAATTAAGTTCACAAATTCATTATCACTGACCCCCCCCCCCCCGAACTCATGGGTGCCACATCCCACACCTCACAGGGTTCCCAATGCTCACACCACACGCCCCCCTCTCTATTCAGCCTTTTTGACTCTGATAAATCATTCCACAGACTCTCTGCTCATCATCCACACCACATACCCTACAACTGACCCCACAGACCTCCATCATTCATACACTATCACTCACCCTATCACTTACCCTAGACACATCACTCAACCATAGTCCCCTATCACTCACCCCACTAAATCCTACTACTCATCCCCAAAGTCTCCTATACTCACCCTGAAAACCACATAACTTATCCCATAAAACCCTATCACTCACCCTACCAACCCTATCACTGACATCACAGATACACCACTCATCCTATAGATCCCTTATAACTAACCCTATAGACTCCCCATAACTCATCATTTTAGGAGGGGTATCAAGGACTGAAACCAGGGGAACTTTACCAATGAGCCACATCCCACGCCCTGTTTATTTTCAAAATAGGGTCTCACTAAGTTGCTTAGGGCCTCACTAGTGTGCTGAGGCTGGCTTGGAAATTGTGATCCTCCTGCCTCAGCCTCCTGAGCCACTGGGATTACATATATGAGCCACTATCCCTGGCCCTCTAACTCATCTCACAGAACCCATGCCTCATATCATAGACCACCCCCAGGTTCCATCACTGATCCCACAGACCTCTTATCACTCACCTTACCTATCATTCCATCTGTCAACTTGCAGTTCTCCACCATTCATGGTATATAACCCATTGGTCACCAACAGATGCCTTAATCACCCCAAAGACACCTGTCGCTTACTATACAGACTGCTTTTCACACACTCAGAGTCCCTTCATTCCACCTACAAATCTCCCTAATGGCAACCTATCACTCCATAGATGCTCCACACTTACCCTGTGGAACTCCTCCTCACTCACCCTGAAGACCCCATCCCTTATTCCATACTCTCTATCATTAAGTAATTGATTCCTTGAAGGATTTCAAAGAGATGGTAAAGAATGAATAATAAAACGGCAGATACTTGAATACTGGTTTTAGGTGACCTGTGTAAAGCCAGACTTCAGTTCAAACTCTGGCTCTCTTCAGGCCTACAGTATAGACTTGAAGAAATGTCTAATTGTTAATGCCAAAGCCCTGCATAATCTGAACTCATTTACTTTCTCATCTAATATACTATCACTCTGTTGTTTACTCACTATAAAGGCATGCTGATTTTGCTCTGCCTCAAATATACCAGGCATAGCCCATCTTTCTGTCCATTGCACTACTTATTCTCTGTGCCACTTACTACCTGTTAACCTTGAGCTTGCTTCTCCCTGGCCTTCAATGTCTTGTATATAAAATACTACTACTAATAATAATGCCTACCTCATAGGTTTTTTTTTACAAAATATTTATTTTTTTAATTATAGGTGGACACGCTATCTTTATTTTATTTTTATGTGGTGCTGAGGATTGAACCTAGTGCCTCACGCATGCTAGGTGAGCGCTCTACCTCTGAGCCACAACTCCAGTCCCCTCATAGGGTTTTTATACAGTTTAAATGAATTGATATATGTAGACAGTTTAGCATATACTTTATAGTTTTTGAATGGAAGAATGAATACACAAATGAAAGAGAAAGTTCTCCCCAGGACTATGACAAGGGTCTCCTTTTTGATCTTCTTGCTTCCAGTATCTTCCTGTCCAAAGTTTTCTGCAATACCAAAACAGGAGCATCTGACCATACCTCTGTCTAAAACCTATGCTCCATGCCTTCAGGATAAACTCCCAGCTCCAGGCTAAGGGTTTCCTCATCCCACCCTGTGATAACTGAAATGAGAGGTAGGCTGTCCAACTTGTTTCCATTAGAAAATCCAGCAGGGGCTGAAGATGTAGCTCAGTGGTAAGTGCTAGCCTAGCATGTACCAGTCCCTGGGTTCAATGTCCAGCACAAAAAAAAAGGGAAGAAAAGAAGCAGGGTGTGGTGGTAGCAGATACCTGTAATCTCAGCCACTCAGCAGGCTGAGGCAGGAGGATCACAAGTTGAAAGCCAGCCCCAGCAATTTAGTGAGGCTCTAGGCAATTTAGTGAGACCCTGTCTCTAAATAAAATATTTTAAAAAGGGCTAGAAATGTGGCTCAGTGGCTAAGCATCCCTGGGTTCAATCCTTGGTAATCTCCCCCCAAAAAAATAAGAAAAGAAACTCCAGTGTCATAGGAGAGTTTTTTGTTGTTATTGTTGTTGTTTGGTTGGTTGGTTTTGATACTGGGAATTAAACCCAGAGGCACTTTATTACTGAGCTACATCCCAACCCTTTTTATTTTTCATTTTGAGACAAGGTTCACTAAGTTGCTTATAGCCTGGCTAAATTGCTGAGGTTGGCTTCCCTAGTTGCTGGAATTACAGGCATGGGCCACTATGCTCAGCTACCATAGGTGTTTTTGACTCCATGATGTGGGACAAGAGAGACCCATAAGTCATCTTCTGGCTTTCAAATAAAAGTCCCCATTATTTATAGCTTCCAAAGATATCTATTTAATGTGTATATTTATTTTATTTTTAAAAACTTTTTTTGTATTTGGAAATGGACAGAATGCCTTTATTTTATTTGTTTATTTTTATGTGGTGCCTCACACATGCTAGGCAAGTGCTCTGCCACTGAGCCATAGCCCCAGCCCTTATTTAATGTACATTTAAAAATATACCAAAATAAAATTGCAGACTTGTCTAAAATGGCAGTGGCACACACCTATAATCCCAGCTACTCAGAAGGCTGGAGCAGGAGGATGGCATATTCAAGGCCACCCTGGGTAATTTAGTGAGAACCTGTTTCAAAATTTTAAAAATTTAAAAATGTTAGCTAGACATGGTGGCTCACAACTATAGTCCTTGTGACTTAGGAGGCTGAGATAGGAGGATCCCAAGTTCAAAGCCTGCCTCAGCAACTGATTGAGGCCCTAAGCCTGTAGTGAGACCTTGTATCAAAATTAAAATAAATAAATAAATAAAAAGAGGGCTGGAGATGTGGCTCAGTGATTAAGCACTCCTGGGTTCAATCCCCAGTACTCTCTCAAAAAAGTTAGACTAAAAAATAAATAAATAAATAGATAGATAGATAGATAAATAAAAGTTAGCTTATCTATACCAACATTGCATTAGGTAAAGTCCAGCCATCTAACAAAACCCCTTGGCTAGAACTAACATTTGTTAGGGCAAGCCTATATTTTGTCCAAACCACATGGATGCTATGTTGTAGAATAAAGTAGGAAGAATACCTTTTTGCATTTTGCCACACATAAGTTTTCTCAAAAAATATCCAAAATATATTCAATCATTTAGTTGATGTTTATTGGACACTTCTTAATTTACGATGCTGGGGACCAAACCTGGGGCCTCATGCATACTAGGAAAATGCTGTAGTACTGAGTGATACTTCTAACCTGACACACTGTTTAATATCAGGACTTACTTCAACATATTGTGAGGATTAAATTAAACAAAGGCAGGGCTGGGGATATGGCTCAAGAGGTAATGTGCTCGCCTGGCATGAACGGGGCACTGGGTTCAATCCTCAGCATCACATAAAAACAAAATAAAGATGTTATGTCCACCGAAAACTGAAAAATAAATATTAAAAAATTCTCTCTCTCTCTCTTTCTATTCTCTCCCTCTCTCTCTCTCTAAAAAAAAAAAAAAAAAAAATTAAACAAAGGCAGACTTGAAAAACCTAGGACCAGTCTTAAAGGTTTAAGAAATAAAAACCTGTTGTAATATAAGAAATAATAAGATGGGCTGGGGATGTGGCTCAAGTGGTAGCGCGCTCGCCTGGCATGCGTGCGGCCCGGGTTCGATCCTCAGCACCACATACAAACAAAGATGTTGTGTCCGCCGAAAACTAAAGAAAAATAAAATAAAATTCTCTCTCTCTTTCTTTAAAAAAAAATTGTATTAAAAAAAAAGAAAGAAATAATAAAAAATAAAAAGATAGGACTTCCAGAGAGTGTAAAAATGTTTTTTGAGCCAGCTAAGTTGGTTAGGGCCTCGCTAAATTGCTGAGACTGATCTCGAATTCGCGATCCCTCACCTCAACCTCCTGAGTAGCTGGTATTATAGGAGTGCACCATCCTGCCCAGCCCTTAAGCCATTCAGACTGTCTCAAAATAAAATGATAAAAATGGGGGGAGGCGGCTGAGGCTGTAGCTGAGTGGCAGAGCACTTGCCTAGCATGTGTGAGGCACTGGGTTCGATCCTTAGCACCACATAAAAATGAAACAAATAAAATAAAGGCATGCTGTTCATCTACAACTACAAAAAAAAAAATTTTAAAAAGGGCTTAGGATGTAGCTCAGTGGTAAAGCACCCCTGCATTCAATTCCCAGTACCAAAATAATAATAAAAACAATAAAATTTGTTGAATTTGTATAAGCATACAAATTGCAAAAATCATAAATGTACAGTTCCATGAATTTTCACAACGTGTACATTATTTTTAAAAAGACTCTGGATTAAGGATTTTCTTTTCCCGTCTAGGAGATTCACTTGAAGTGAGGGCCACAGTATTTGAAACAGATTACATCATCTGTCAGCAGAGGTGCTGGACAATTTGTGGCAGGGTGTCCAAACTTCACGTGCTCACGCAGCAGCTTCCTTTCCCCGCCCTTCCATCGCCCAAAAGGGACCTCAGTTTAACACACCGGAATATGAATCCGGAAGTAGACCTCCAAAACAACCTGCCACGGAACCAAAGGAGGCGGGGCCTCAGGAGGCGGCTACACACTGTCAGAAAAGAAGCAAAATGCCCGGCTTTGCCGGGGTGGAGCTCCGCGTAAGGGCACTCTAGGCGCATGTGCAGAGGCGACCTCCCTCCTGAGCCAGGTGGGAGGGGCGGTGGGGGGCAGGGTCGCGTGGTGCCTTCTGCGCCTGCGTTGAGGCGCAAGGTGGGGCCGTGAGCGCCCGCACTGTAGGGTGCGCGCAGGGGTGGGGGGCAACGGTCAACCGTCGCCTTGAGGCAGGCGACGGCGGCATGGCGACGGCCTCCGGGTCCTCGGATTTGGTGGGATCCGGAGCGCCCCCGCCTGGCGGGGCAGCTCAGATGGCGGCGGCAGCTGAGGAGGAAGAGCGAGAGGTGGTACGGGTCCGAGTCAAGGTGAAGCTGGCGGCCGGTCGGCCAACCTGCCCTGGCATCCCAGGGGAAGGGAAGGCGGTGGCTGTCTTAGGATGGAGGGCGGGATCTGAAATTTGGGGCGTTACCCGAGGGGTGAGGCTTGAAGGCAGAGTGATCCTTGTGGCGGGGAGGGCTTGAGGGAATGGGTCCTAGTGACACATCCTAGGGCGTGGGACTGAAAATGAAGGGGCAAAGGCCTATTATGAAATAGATGGGTGGAGCTTGTAGGTGAAGGGGCGGGGTTGTAGGATAGGAGGAGGGGTCGAAGTAGTGGAGGGGTGGGGCCCTGACTAATGTCTGGGATGCCCATAATGACTGAAAAAGGAGCTCCGAATCAGACCCAACACAGAGATGGTGAGGGTGTACTTCTGGGGCTGGAGATGTAGCTCAGTGGTGTTTGCCTACCATGTACAAGGACCTGGGTTTGATCCTCAACATGGCAAAAGAATAAAAAAAGTGCACTTTTGTGCGAGTCCCTACCCTTGAGCCCCTGTGCTTGTGGGGAAATAAACAGCTAAATAAATGAGATACTTCAGACATTGCTAAATGCCCTGAGGAACGAATGAAAAAGGTTATGAACTAGGGAGTTTAGCCAAGGTTGTACAGATTGTACAGGAAAACCTTCTGGAGAAAATATTAAAGGCTCAGGGATCCAAATTAAGAAGGGTCAGCTATGTGAATTTCATGGCAGGTAGTGGGATGGGCAAGAGTTCTAGGCCAAGGGAACAGCAGGGCAAAGGCTGGGGGTTGGTGATGAGCTTGGCATGCTCCTGTAGGTTCCCATATTGCTAGAACAGCAAGAGTGAGGGGAAGGAAGAGTGGTAAGGAGGTGAAACAGAGAGGCAACTGGGGCACAGGTGGTAAAGAGCCTTTGGTGTGTACTCTGAGGAAGAAAGATGTTGCAGTAGTTCCAGCAGGCAGTGATGGTGGCCCAGACTAGGGTGGTGGAATTGGCAGAGATGAGAAGAGAGTCAACAGATCGCTTTGTGTAATAGTGCTGTAAGAGAGCAGTTTGGGAATTAAGAAAAACAGAGGATGCCTGATCTGTGAGTGACCCAGATGAAGAAAGCAGAAAGGATGTTCCAGACAGGGGGATCAGCACACACAAAGGCCTGAAACCAGGATGTGTTGAAGATAACAGCCAACAATTTGGTACTACCAGAGTGTAGAGGTAAAAAATTAAAAAGTAACTGTGGTGTGGCTTGCTGGGGTCTCTCAGGCCCACCTGTTGGGGACCCTAGGGTTGTCACTGAAGAGATTCACAGGGCAGGTGATAGATAGATGTGCTAGATTGGGTGCAGTGTTGTAGTTAGACTGGTCATCATGATTCTGGCAACCATATTTGAAGGAATATAGCAAGTTTGGATGCCTGGACTATTGCTGTATCCTCCTCTTCACTGGACCCCTTGTTCTACCCTTGCCCTTCACAGTCTATTTGCAGAGCAGCCATAAGGTAAATTGGGCCATATCCCTCCTCTGCTCAGAAACCTCCTGTGGCTCCCCATCACTCAGAACAAAAACCAAAGTCCCCACCATGGCCCAGAATACCTCTCCAATCTTGCCTTCTACCACTTCTTACCCTTCAGCATGGAAATGTGGCCCCTCATGGCCTACCCCATGTTTTCTCTCTCTAGAAATGTGAGAGCTTCCTGCCACATGAGTTCCGCTCTTTTGCTGTAGACCCCCAAATCACCTCACTGGACGTATTACAGCACATCCTCATCCGAGCCTTTGATTTGAATGGGTGAGTAGAGGGATACTGGGGACTGGCCAGTGGGCCACTCACCTCGACAGCAGTTGTCTGGCTTTTTTTTCTTAAATGGGATTTTGGTTTACTTTTCTATTAAATAATCCCTTAGTGAACATCCAGATATGAATAGCTTGGAATACATGGGGACGTCTAGTCCCCACATAGGATAAATTCCTAGTAGTGGTATTGCTAGATTAAAGGGTATGTGCTTTTTAAACTTGCAGTGGATATTGTCACAATGCTCTCCAGAAAGGTTTTTACAAATTTAAAATCTCAACAGCAGCATATAAAATACTTGTTTCCCTCACTCCCTCTCAGTGATTGCTAGAAAACACTCAAAATTTGCCAGTCTGATAGCCAAACATTGGTATCTCTTGGGGGCAGATGTGGTGGTTATTTTGTGTTGGTGGGGTGGTTGTTTTGGAAGAAGACATGCCCATGGTAACAAATGTAAACAATAAAGAACTGTTGAGTATTTAGGATGTTTCCATGGTTACAGTGATTATCCTATAACATACTTCTTTGCTTAGCTGCACAAGTCTACCTGAAGAATAAATTAGTTGTTACTTGACTTTTCACATAAACACTTTCTGTTGTGAAAAATAACAAACATACAGATCGCTTTATTTTTTTGTGTAGTAAGAAGGCTGCTTTCTTCCCACTTCTGTCCCTCAACTACACTGTCACTGTCCCCAGAGGGGATCAACATTTTACCAGTTTTCAGTGTGCCCTCCAGATATAAGCAGGTGTGTATCTGTTTCTGTATTTGTGTAACAAAGTGGATATAAATGACCTGACCTCAAACTACCCACAGTCCTTAGTATAGTACCCAGCAGATAGTAGGAAGTTGTTTTCAGTACCTTCCATATTACCCCTCTTGTTTTGGAAATTGTCCCTGAGGCTTCCAGGGCATTGAGGACCTCTGGAGAGCTCCCTCATATCCTCTGTCCAGGAAGAAGAACTTTGGCATCAGCTACCTGGCCCGGGACCGGCTAGGACAGGAAGTTTACCTCTCTCTCTTGTCTGACTGGGACCTCAGCACAGCTTTCGCCACTGCTTCTAAACCTTACCTGCAGTTGCGTGTAGACATTCGGCCCTCAGAGGACAGTGAGTACCCAGTGCCTTTGGGCACTGCTCTGGGTCATACCTTTTCCCTATAGGATGACTCCACCCCTAACAGTACACTCCCTCAGTGGGCTGGGCAGCAATGTATCCTAGGCTCAGATCCTGGCTTAGCCTCTGGGGTTTAATTTCTTCACCTATAAAACAAAGATGGTAGTATTTTAGGGCTATTGTGAGGATTAAATAGGGAATTCACATCAAATGCCTAGAACAATACATGGCTGCACAGTTAATGTTAAAGAGGTGTTACTACTTGCCAGATACAGGGCTCATGCCTATAATCCCAGCACCTTGGAAGGCTGAGGCAGGAGGAGTACAATTTTTAAAAAATTTTTTTAGTTGTAGATGGACACAATATCTTTATTTTATTTTTATGTGGATCAAACCCAGTGCCTTTCACATGCAAGGCAAGCACTCTACCACTGAGCTACAATCCCAGCCCAGGATTACAAATTTGAGGCCAGACAGCAATTTAGGGAGGCCCTAAGTGACTTAGCAAGACCCTGTCTCAAAATGAAAAAAAAAATTAAAATGGCTGGGAATGTAGCTCAGTGTTTATGCACCCCTTGGTTCAGTCCCTAGTACAAAAAGAAAAACAATGAGCCGCGCATGCTTGTAATCCCAGCTGTGTGGGAGGCTGAGGCAGGAGGATCTTGAGTTTAAAGGCAGCCTCAGCAATTTAGCGAGGTACTAAGTAACTTAGTGACACCCTGTCTCTATGTAAAATACAAAATAGGGCTGGGGATGTTGCTCAGTGGTCAAGTGCCCCCTACCCCGATCCAAAAAAAAAAAAAAGAAAAGTTAGCTCTATTATACTGTTAGAGCATATAACTTAGTAATATATAATATAACAGTATAGCTGTATTATTGTGTATTTCAGTTATAATAACTAAACATAACAATGCCCATTATATTAATGGCAATTTTGTTTATTTATTCACTCATCCTGTACCTATATTTGTTTGCACTCTTGCTCACTAATTCATTTGTTCCCTAAATCTCTCAGCTACTTATTTTCTTCTCATATCGGTTCCTCCAATTTAGCCTATGCTGGTCCCTGCAAACACACAGATAAATTAAGACATGGTCCCCCCCCCCAATTTTTTTTTAGTTGGACACAATATCTTTTTTAAAAAATATTTATTTTTTAAGTGTAGATGGACACAACACAATGCCTTTATTTTTATGTGGTGCTGAGGATCAAATCTGGGTCCCACCCGTGCTAGGCAAGCGCTCTATCACTGAGCCACAATCCCAGTCCCTGGACACAGTATCTTTATTTATTTATTTTTATGTGGTGCTGAGGATCGAACCCAGGGCCTCGCATGTGCTAGGTGAGTGCTCTACCACTGAGCCACAACCCCAGCCCCCCCAAAAAAAAATTTGATTATGGACCAAACATATTAGTTAATAGTATTCTATCAGTGTTAAACTTCCTCAGACTTATCTCAGTCTGTTTGTGCTGCTGTAATAGAATACTACAGCCTAAGGACTTTATGAAGAACAGAAATTTATTTCTCACAGTTCTAGAGGCAAGGAAGTACAAAATCAAGGTTCTGACAGATTTCATGTCTAGTGAGGGCCTTCTTGCTATGTCCTCACATGGCAGAAGGGATAGAAGAGCAAAGTAAAGGGAAGGAATGTTGTGTTCTCACCTAGTAGAAGAGCAGAAGAAAACGAACCCACTCCTTCAAGCCCTTTTATATGGTCTGATCCCATCTATAAGGCTCTGCCCTCATGTCTTAATCATCTCTTAATGGCCTCACTCCTTAATTGAGGTTTAGTATCCCTTATCTAAAATTCTAAGGGCCAGAAATGTTTCAGATTTTGGTATTTTTCAGATATTGGAATATTTTCAGAAACTGTACAAATTGGGCATTCCCTATCCAAAAATCTGAAATCTGAAATGCTGCCAAATCCTATACACTTTGAACATGAGATCATGTCCACTCAAAAGTTTGGGTTGTGGATTTCAAATTGTTGATGTTCAACCCGTGCCATTACATTGGCAATTGTTTCAACATATGAATTTTGGGAGATGTATTCAAATCATACCAGTATGGTAATGGTAGCAAGGCTATTTAAGAAAAATGTCGTTGTTCATTGGAAAAAACAGGTAAGAACAGACAAGTGTCATGATGTCTGCAAGTGATTTGGCAAACATGTTTCTATGTAGAGGGAATGAGATAAAGCAAATGTGGCAAAAAAAAAAAAAATGTTATCAGGTTGGAATCCCAGAAGTTCTGGAGACTGAGGTAGGAAGATCGCAAGTTTGAGGCCAGCCTCAGAAACTTAGCAAGACCTTGGCTCAAAATAAAAAATAATAAAGGCTGGGGATGTAGCTCAATGGTAGAGTGCCCTGGGTTCAATCCCCAGTACAAGTATAACAGGATCAAGGTGAGAGATGTTTGAGTAGTTCACTGTATTCTTTATTGTTTAATGTGTGTTTCAAGTTTTTTTTTTTTTAAATAGGAAGTTATATAGTAGAAAATACTGTTCCCAGCCTGAGGGGGCTCACATGACTGTTTGGGATAAGTGAGGCATTTTATTGACATTATAGTAATATATCCATAGCCAACATGGATTCAACACTCGGGCCATTCTATGCACTTATTTTTTTCAGTAAATTCCCCATGTGATAGAAGAAAAAATTGAAGTTTAGAGTGGTGACAGGACTTGTTCCAGTCACACACAGTTAATTGAAGGATAGAATTTGAACCTAGGCAGTGAATAACTGGCTTGAGTCACCTTGGTGGTTTTTTTTGTTGTTGTTGTTGTTGTTGTTGTTTTTTGTTACCAGGGTGTAATGGTAAAGTATTACATATGTTGGCAGGTCAGATCTGATAGACAATAAAGACACTGTCTTTATACACAATAGCATTTATTTTAGTAATGATATGAAAGCAAGAGCAAAATCAAAAGTGATAGGTGAGAGAAAAATAGAAGAAAATACATCACCAGATCAGGGAAACACCAACACCTGAAGTCATATAGCTGGGGAGTCCCGGGGCAGCTTTTCAGGGTCCTGATTGGGAAGTTCCAGGCAGTGCCTCCTCTGCACAGGTGAGACTCCAAAATCTTACTCCCAGTGGGGCTCTTTAAATACAAGTTAGAACAAACAAAGCTCCATTCCAATAACCTGCATGACCTAGTGTTTCCCTCAAGAATACTTCATCCTCCCCAAAACTGGTCAGATCCCCAAATGGAGGGAGTGTTTGCCTTGAGATAACTGAATGTCTCTGAGTTCCCATGAGTGAGCTGAACCAATAAATCTGTATTCTTTAGATGTTCTAACAAGGATGTATGTACAAAGGTCACAGCAGGCACATGGACAGAGATCTTTAATATTTTCCTTAGCCCTTTACAAGGATTGAACCCAGGGGTGCTTAACGACTGAGTCACATCCCCAGCTCTTTTTATTTTTTATTTTGAGACAGGGCCTCACTAAGATGCTAAGGCTGGCCTCAAACTTGAAATCCTCCTGCCTCAGCTTCTCAAGTTGCTAGGATTATAGACATGCACCACCACACCTTGTTCTTTTTTAAAAATTTTGTTTTTCAGTTGTTGATGGACCTTTATTTTATTCATTTATTTATATGTGCTGTTGAGAATCAAACCCAGGTCGTCACACATGCTAGGCAAGTGCTCTACCATTGAGCCAAAACCCCAGCCCCTCGTCCTTGTTCTTAATCATTTGGCTCTACAACATTTTGAGTTTAAGATTGGCAGCTGAGGGAAAGAGAGAACAAATGTCAGACAGAAAGGTAATGACAGAGATGCACAGGAAGACAAACTGAGGAAGATAGATAGCTAAAGACAGGAATTTCTGCCATTGCATCAGTGACTTAGGTCAGTCAATTCATTCATTCTCCAGGCCTTGGTTTCCTTACCTGTAAAGTAGACAAGTAGCACTATTTTGGTAAAGAAATTAAATCTGCCTGGCTAATTAACATATGAGGAATACTCCAACTATATAAGTGCCAATAAAGTAAAGAGAAACAAAGATATCCATCTCTGTCAAAAATACATTTTAGAAAGTTATCTTTTTAAAGAGACTCATTTTTCCATTGATGAGTCATTTCTTTCCCTACTGTTTTTAGAAGCTGTCTGACTTACAAAATTCCTGCATATGCACAGGTCTGTTTCTGAATTACTGATTTTCTTACACTGATCTTTTTATTTATTTATTTATTTATTTGTGGTTGTAGATGGACAGAATGCATTTATTTTATTTTTTTATTTTTATGTGGTGCTGAGAATCGAACCCAGTGCCTCATGCATACTAGGCAAGTGCTCTACCACTGAGCTACAGCCCCAGCCCATACTGATCTCTTCATTAACTCCTAAATTGTTTCATGTATTTTTAATCATTGTAGCTTTATGATAGGTTTTTGTTTTGGGATTGAACCCAGGGGTGCTTAACTACATGAGCCACATCCCCAGCCCTTTTTATTTTTTATTTTGATACAAGAACTTCCACATTGCTTAGGGCCTTGATAGGTTGCTGAGGGTGGCTTTGAACTCTCAATCCTCCTACCTCAGCCTCCAAAGCCACTGGGATTACAGATGTGTGCCGCTGAGCCTGGCTTACATATATTATTATCTTATTTTTAGTATTCTTGTATTTGAAATGTATTTTTTTTCCTGGTGGTGGTACCGAGGTTTGAACCCAGGGCCTCACACATGCTAGGCAAGTGTGCTACTACCGAGCCACTCCCCCAACCTAATGACTGTGTATATTAAATACTTATGCCCCACCACCACTTACCCTTCTCTTTTAAAAAATTTGTTGGTGCTGGGGATCAAACCTCAGCACACACTCTACACCCCCTAACCCTTTACTCTTTCCTTTTTCCTTTCCCTTCTTTTTTTTTTAGTAATACATGGATACAATATCTTTATTTTGTTTATGTATTTATATGTGGTGCTGAGGATCAAACCCAGTGCCTCACATGTGCGAGGTAAGTGCTCTGCCACTGAGCCACAACCCCAGCCTGCTTTTCCCTATCTTGAACCCTTTAGTGGTCATTTGCTTCCAGAACTTCTTTGTTCTCCTCCAATAGGGTGCATGGGTTAGATGTACTCTAATGGTCAAAATGTCTTTCTTACCAGGGCATGGTGGTACATGCCTGTAATCCCAGCAACTAGGGAGGCTGAGGCAGGAGGATCATAAGTTTGAGGCTAGCCTCAGCAATTTAGTGAGACTGTAAACAACTTAGTGAGACCCTGTCTCAAATTAAAATGGTCTGTGGCTGTAGCTCAGTGACAGAGTGCCCCTGGGTTCAGTCTCTAGTACCCCCCCAAAAAATTTCTTTCTTGAGTTGGGGGTATAGCTCGGTGGTATAATGCTTCTCCAGCATGCTTAAGACCCTGGGTTAGATCCCCAGCACTGCAAAAATTGGCTAAATAGGTCTTTACTATCTTAACTATGTGTAGGCCTGTTGGATCTCAAGTATTCTGGGTGCCTGAGCTACTGTCCTGCTTCCAAAGTTGAGTCACAGCAGTCTGTTTGTTTCCAGTCTGACATTCATTTCATTGTAAGCAACCTTTTTTTTTTTTTTTTTTTTTTTGGTATGAGGGATTGAACCAGGTGTGCTTTCCTACTGAGCCACTGCGCTATGTGTGCCACTGCACCTAGCTTCTTTTTCTTCTTAAAAGTTGCCAGCCCAGTTGGTCCTATCTATCTATATCGCTGGGATTACAGGTGTGTGATACTACAGCCAGCTAAGAGACAGGGTCTTGCTCTATTGTCCAGGCTGGTCCCAAACTCCTAGTCTCAAGTGATTCTCCTGCCTTAGCCTCCCAGTAGCTGAGACTATAGGTACTCATCACGATGCTCAGCTCATTAGTATTATTATTTGTTATGTTAGTCATTGTCCCAGTACCTGGCACATGGTAAGCATTCAATAAATATTATTACTTTATGTTATTAAAATATTAGAGGGCTGGGTGTGGTGGTACATGCCTGTAATCCCAGCAACTCAGGAGGCTGTGGCAAGAGGATCACAAATTCCAAACCAGCCTTAGCAATTTAGCAAGGCCATAAAGCAATTTAGTGACAGTCTCTCTCAAAATGAAAAAGGAGGGCTGGGATTATGGCTCAGCAGTACAGTGCTCACCTAGCAAACGCAGGGCCCTGGGTTCAATCCTTAGCACCACATAAAAATAAATAAATAAAACAAAGGTATTATATCCAACTACAACTAAAAAAATAAATATAAAAAAAGAAAAAGGAATGGGGATGTAGCTCTGGGGTAAAGCACCCCTGAGTTCAATCCCCAGTACCAAAATAAAAATAAAATATTAGCTGGGTGCAGTAGTGCACACCTGTAATCCCAGTGGCTCAGGAGGCTGAGGCAGGAGGATCGTGAGGTCAAAGCCAGCCTCAGCAATGGTGAGGTGCTAAGCAACTCAGTGAAAACCCTGTCTCACAATAAAATACAAAATAGGGTTGGGGATGTGGCTCAGTGGTGGAGTGCCCCTGTGTTTAATGTCCAGTACCCCCAAAATAAATAAATAAATAAAAATAAAATATTAGAGTCTTCCCAGCCATTTTTTTTCTCATTGTAAAAATATGGAACGCTTCACGAATTTGCGTGTCATCCTTTAGCAGGGGCCATGCTAATCTTCTCTGTATCATTCCAATTTTAGTATATGTGCTGCCGAAGCGAGCACTTCCCAACCATTTTTGAGACATTTATTACAAAAGATTTCTTTATGGTTTGATGTTTTTACATGATTTGGATAATATGGGAAGAGCGAGTGGGAGTCATTGTTCTTTAGGTAGCCTGGCTTTGGAAGGAGAGAAACTAGGTCCTCAGTGCTCTTCCTCACTCTCATAGCACTTCACTCTGTGTACTCAGGCCCACTGCTGGAAGACTGGGACATAATCAGCCCCAAGGATGTCATTGGCTCTGATGTGCTGCTGGCTGAGAAACGGTCATCACTGACGACAGCCGCCCTGCCCTTTACACAGTCCATCCTATCTCAGGTGGTCTCAGGGACCCTGGGGGCCCATTTGTGGTGGGAGGGCAGAGCCTATCTAGATCTGATCCAAAGCATGCTGGTTGTCATCTGTTCCTAGCCTGCCCAACTGACTGGTGGCTTCCTTCCCTCCTTCCTTCCCAGGTGGGTCGAACCTTGTCTAAAGTCCAGCAGGTGCTGAGCTGGTCATATGGTGAAGATGTGAAGCCCTTTAAGCCACCCCTGAGTGATGCTGAATTTCACACATACCTGAATCATGAAGGCCAGCTCTCCCGACCTGAGGAGTTGCGCCTGCGAATCTATCATGGGGGTGTAGAACCCTCTCTGCGAAAGGTAAATCTGTCTTCCCACTCACTTGTTGCATCCATCACTGCTGTGCTCAGAGGTAGCTCATGAGATACATTAGTGGGGCACACTCTTGTAGGTGGGGTGGAGATACTCCAGGGTAGGAAGCTGTCTTTCAGGTGGAACTAGAAGTCAGTAGTGGGAAGGCAGACTTGGCATAAGAAGTAGAGAGGCTCCAGGGGCTGGGTGGGTGGTGACTGATACACAGTGTTGCAATGCTCACCTCCAGAACCTTAGCCTCCCGTTCTTTCGTACATGGCCAGGTGGTGTGGCGGTACCTGCTGAATGTGTACCCAGATGGGCTTACAGGCCGTGAACGAATGGACTACATGAAACGCAAGAGTCGCGAGTATGAGCAGCTCAAGAGTGAGTGGGCCCAGCGAGCAAGCCCTGAGGACCTGGAGTTCATCCGCAGCACTGTCCTCAAGGATGTGCTGCGCACTGACCGGGCCCACCCCTACTATGCAGGGCCTGAGGATGGCCCACATCTGCGGGCACTACATGATCTGCTCACCACCTATGCTGTTACACACCCACAGGTGTCCTACTGCCAGGGCATGAGTGACTTGGCTTCGCCCATTCTTGCTGTCATGGACCACGAGGGCCATGCCTTTGTCTGCTTTTGTGGCATCATGAAGCGCCTGGCTGCCAACTTCCATCCTGATGGTCGCGCCATGGCCACTAAGTTTGCCCACCTCAAGCTGCTTCTTCGACATGCTGACCCTGACTTCTACCAGTACCTTCAAGAAGCAGGTGCTGATGACCTCTTCTTCTGTTACCGATGGCTACTGCTTGAGCTCAAGCGTGAGTTTGCCTTTGATGATGCCCTCCGCATGCTCGAGGTCACTTGGAGTTCACTGCCTCCTGATCCTCCTGAACATGAAGTAGAGCTTGTTGGACCTCCCAGCCAAGTAGCAGACGTTGGCTTTGGTGGCCACCGGGGGCGGCCCATGCGACAGAGGCACATGCTGAGGCCTGCAGGTGGAGGTGGTAGTGCCTTCGAAGATGCTGTTAAACACTTGACCACGTCCAGCCAGGGGCCTGGTAGTGGGGGGCGTCTCCTGAGACAAGCCAGCCTGGATGGCCTCCAGCAACTCAGGGATAATATGGGCCCCAGGAGGGACCCTTTGGTCCAACTACCCCACCCAGCTTCCCTCATTAGCTCCAAGTCCCTCTCTGAGCCCTTGCTGAACTCCCCAGATCCACTGCTTTCCTCCTTTTCCCGCCCTGACTCCCCATCTTCCTCATCTCCACCATCTACCCAGGAGGCCTCTCCTGCTGGTGACATGGGTATAGGCTCCCCCTTGATGCAGGAGGTAGGATCCCCACGAGATACTCGGAAGTCCTTGCCACCACCCCCAATGGGCCTGCCCCCACCCCAGGAGTTTGGCCGGGGGAACCCATTCATGCTCTTTCTTTGCCTGGCCATCCTGCTGGAGCACCGTGACCACATCATGCGCAATGGGCTGGATTACAATGAGCTGGCCATGCACTTTGACCGCCTAGTGCGAAAACACCACCTGGGGCGTGTCCTGCGCAGAGCCAAGGCTCTGTTTGCTGATTACTTGCAGTCAGAGGTGTGGGACTCAGAGGAGGGGGCCGAGGCCACAGCCCCATCTTGACTGAACTCCCTCCAACCCCCCATCAGCCCCACCTTTGCCATCAGGGCCCACATGTGAGATCCCACCTCCCTGCCTGCCAGCCCTAGACCTGTTGGAGCCAGGAACCATCTCTCCCCAGGTTTGAGTGTGGAGGGCTCTGCTTTGGCACTTTTTCCTATTTTTGTTGTGTTGTTTTTAAACAACAATACTTTGAACACATGAAGGTTACTGTAGTCTGTGTGTTTCTCTGCCCCCTTCTTGGATTTTACTCTAAATGGAATCTCTAGTGGCTCTTTACCTGATGAGGCCAAAATAGTGAGGTGGGCTCCTGCTTCTCCAGTGGTGGGGAGAGGGCTGCTGAGAAATTTTTGCAAGATTCAGTACAAAGAGTAGGATGTCTAATGCCCAGTTTTCAGAAAGGCTGGCTACTGCACTAGATAACAATATCTTAAAGGGAAAAGAAGACATCATGGCCTACTTAGAAACATTGGGCCAGCCTTTCTAGATCTACACCCTTCTCTGTGAGTCTTAAGCACTGATGCTGGCAACTCTGGTCAGGGATCTTTCTACAGTTACTATCTTACCACGTCCTTTGGAGCCAGCTTGAGGAACTGTGACCTTGCCATGCCTAAGGCCCTATATTGTGTCTCCAGCTCATGAGTACCTGTCTTAACTTTTTTGGCAATAGAAACCATTTATTTTTCTTCTCCACTCCACTAATATGGACAAACAAATCAAGCACCATTAAAATCCGGCCCTAAAAGAATTCACCTGTTTATTTGGAGGATAGTCATCAAAAGCAGGTCCTTTTGCCCACTTCTCAGAAGGTAGGGTTCTCTCAGGCTGGGTGCTATCCTCTACAGCGGACATGGAAGACAGTGGGTGAGATAACTGGGGTCCATATATCATGGCTTAGTTGTGCTAGGTTCTGGACAGAAGTTGTTCCACTGGACAATGATGCCAGAGAATGAGGGGCATCAGCTTAAAACAACAAGGATTTATTTATCTCACAGTTTCTGAGGGTCAGGAATCTGAGGAGCAGCTTATCTGGGTAGTTTTGATTCAGGGCCACTCCTGAGATTTCAGTTTGTCAGCCAGGACTGCATTAAGCTGGAGGCCTGACTTGGCTAGTGGACCCACTTCCACATGGCTCTGTTGGCAGGAGGCTTCAGTTTCTCACCACTTGATGCTCTTCCGGGGCTCCTCACAACATGTGATCTGAGCAAGCGGGCAAGAGACCATGACCAAGTCAAGACACAATGCCTATTACGACTTTTTCTCAGAAATAACATCATTTCTGTTACATTTAAATGGGTCATATAGACCAACTCTAGTAAAACATGGGAGGGGACCACATATAGGAGGAGGAACCACTGAGGACTATAATAGAGGCTGGCTACTGCACTAGGTAACAATATCTGAAGCAGAAGTAATGGAACAGACAGAAGACTTTTAATTAAATTTTAAAAATGACAGATAATATCAGAATATAAAACAGGAAAAAGATTGTAAAAAGACCCTCCAAAATTTAAGGTATGTGTTTGATGGTAGAAAGAAATGGTGGGCATGGTGGCACATGCCTGTAATCCCAGCGGCTCAGGAGGCTGAGGCAGGAGGATCACAAGTTCAAAGCCAGCCTCTGCAAAAGCGAGGTGCTAAGCAACTCAGTGAGACCCTGTCTCTAAATAAATAATAAAATAGGGCTGGGGATGTGGCTCAGTGGTTGAGTGCCCCTGAGTTCAATCCCCGGTACCAAAAAAAAAAGGAAAAAGAAGCAAAGTATATATTGTAAGTGGAGAACATGAAATGAGATGTCAGAATTGAGTCCTCATAATAGTAATTACAAATATATATATATATATAAAACAGAGACCATCACTGGATTAAAATAAGAAAAGTCCAACAGTACACATACACACAAATATTTGGAATTTAGAAATGTTCAATGTGAAAGGATGAAGAAAAGATAGAGTAGATAATAAAAGACCAAAGAAAGCTGAGATGGCCATCCTAATAGCTAATATAGAATTGAACACCATATATTGAACACCAGATATGTGTGCCATAAACATGTATATTCCTAGGAAGCCCTGGATAATACATTTTTAAGCTTGAAATATGTATACACACACATACATATGTACATACATTTATATATATATATTTGTTCTGAATTTTTATGGATATACATTACATAGGTATGTATTTACACATATGTACTATATATAAAACCCTCCACTTGGAGCTAGGGTTGTGGCTCAGTGGTAGAGCACTTGCCTGGCACGTGTGAGGTACTGGATTTGATCCTTAGCACCACATAAATAAATAAAGGTATTATGTCCATCTACAACTAAAATGTTTTTTAAACCCTCCACTTAATAAATGGAGAAGACTCCTTTTATGTTTACAGTTAACAATTACAGAAGTAAATCATGTTAGGGCACAAAGAAGACCTCAGTAAATAAGTATCAATATTCAAAACAAGGTGGGTAGGTCAGTAATAGAGAACTTTCCTAGCACACACAAGGCCATGGGTTCAAGGCCCAGTACCATACACAAAGTTTATATTAAGCATGTTCGCTGACCATATGTAATACAATTAACAGGAGCAGCTAAAAAATGACTCCCAATTTTGGGTAGCTAACATTACTAAATAACCCTCGGATGAAAGAAGGAATCATATATGAATTTAAGAAATATATACATAAAATGATAGGGACCCCAGCTGCTTGGGAGGCTGAGGCAGGAGGATCAAAAGTTCAAAGCCAGCCTCAGCAACTTATCAAGGCCCTAAGCAACTCAGTGAAACCTTGTCTCTAAGTAAAATACAAAAAAGGGCTGGGGATGTGGTTCAGTGGTTAAGCAACCCTGGGTTCAATCCCTGGTGCCTTTAAAAAAAAAAAAAAAAAAAAGCCAGGCAAGGTGGCTCAAGCCTATAATCCCAGCAATTTGGGAGGCAGCAGGAAGATTGAAAGTTCAAGACCAGGCTGTTGCAATGGGCAAAAGGTGAAACTTATGCAGTCCAGGGGGAGAAATAAAGAATGTCCAAGTGCTTCTGCCCTTTTCAATACTTTATTCACTCAAATCACTCCATACAATTTCACTCTATAGGTTCTTAATGAAGAAAATGACAATCCTGGGCTGGAGCTGGAGCTCCATGTTAGAGCGCTTGCCTCACAGGTATGAGGCCCTGAGTTCTATCCTCAGCACCACATAAACTAAAGATGTTGTGTCCACCGAAAACTGAAAAGTAAATATTTTAAAATTTTCTCTCTCTCTCTCTCTCTCTCTCTCTTAAAAAAAACACACACAAAAAATCAAGCCTTAGGTTTTAAATCCTACAGATGCACCCTTACTCAGATGGCGGTGATCAGATCAGGAACCAAGGTAGGCTTCTCCTGGGGTGGAGCTGACAGCTGGCTGAGGAGAGGGTCATAGAGAGAAGTTGCAGCTCTCATTAGGGTCTAGATGTGGCTGTAGAGTTTGAGAGCGGTGAGGAAGAGGCAAAAGATCACCAAATGATGAAAAGTGTTGGGATGTCAGTCCAGGTCCTCTTCAGGCTCTCAGCGGGAGGGCATCTGTATTGGCTGGCTGAAAGTCTTTCATTTGCTTTATTATTTGTACGAAATTTTGGGATTTTAGACCCCCCTTTCAGTCCTTATCAGCTGCCACTGGATCTCCTGATGACATTGTTTACCCTGGGGTTAAAACATCTGGTCTGGTGGTCCACACCCTGATCTTTTCGCCTTTCCCTCTTATCAGGCGCCTTTCCCTCTTATCTGAGGCCTTTCCTTCTTATCTGCCAGAGGCTTATTCTGAGATTATCAGGGTGGGGAGAAGTGATTTGTTTATGCCTGCAGGCCATACTGGAGGGCTCTGTTAAGCGTGCCTGGTGAGACTGCTTGTTTCAACCAGGAATTTTTAAACTGGAGTTGTATAGGCTCAGGCCTAAGGCCATTCACACAGCCTCAGCAATTTAGCAAGAACCTAAGCAACTCAGTGAGATTCTATCTCTAATAAAATACTGAAAATGGGGCTGGGGATGTGGCTCAAGCGGTAGCGCGCTCCCCTGGCATGCGTGCGGCCCAGGTTCGATCCTCAGCACCACATACAAAGATGTTGTGCCCGCCGATAACTAAAAGAAAATAAATATTAAAAAATTCTCTCTTTACTCTCTGTCTCTCACTCTCTCTTTAAAAAAAAAAATTATTAAAATACTGAAAATGGGCCAGGGATGTGGCTCAGTGGTTAAGCACCCCTGTGTTTAATCCCTAGCACCCCAGTATACACACACACACACACACACACAGACACACCTGTTATCTTAGTGACTCGGAGGCTGAGGCAGGAGGAACACAAGTTAAGACTAGCCTCAGCAACGTAGTGAGAACTTGTTTTGAAATAAAAAGTGGCTGAATTTTTGAGGCCACTAAAATTTTGAGGCTGGCTCAGTGGTAAAGAGCCCCTGGATTTAAGCCTCAGTGCCAAAAAAAAAAAAAAAAAAAGAAAAGAAAGAAAGAAAGAAAAAGAAAAAAAAATCTGAAGATTTGTGGGACACAGCAAAGTTAGTTAAGAGGACAAAAGGTACAGTTTTAAATACATTTATCAATTCATCAGGAAAGAAGAAAGATTTAAAAATATGATCTAAGCATTCAAATCAAAAGTTGGGAGCTGGGCATGATGGTGCACATCTGTAATCCCAATGACTCAAGAGACTGAGGCAAGAGAATATTAAATTCAAGGCCAGCTTCAGAAACTTACTGAGACCTGGATAGCAAAATGAAAAATAAAAGCCAGGTTCAGTGGCTCACTCCTGTAATCCCAGTGACTGGGAGGCTGAGGCAGGAAGATGGCAAACAAGTTTGAGGCCAATCTCAGCAACTTAGCAAGGCCCTAAACAACTTAGCAAGACCCTGACTCAAAATTTAAAAAATAAATAAATAAAATGGGCTGGGGATGTAGCTCAGTGGTGGAGTACCCCGGGGTTCAATTCCCAGTACTGCAAACTAAATAAATAGTAAAGTTTAAATAAATAAAAAGTTGCTTTTCTGGTTGGAGTTGGAACTCCACAGTACAGTACTTGCCTGGTTTGTGAAGGCCCTGGGGTTCTACCTTGTCCCCAGTGTTAAAAAAAAAAAAAAAAAAATTGCCCACACAAAAGAGGCTAACGTTTTAAGTTAACATGATTCAAAAAACAAAAGGCAAAGTTTCCAGAAAAAAAGT